CTAAATTTGTCGCTTACATGTAAATGCCATATAGTATACCATTGATGTCTAAATGGGGTTTAGCGTGCTGTTGATTTTGAGTTTATAAATGCTGGAGTCTGATCTCTTCCTTGTTGGTGTAAAATGTTTTACAGCAATATTTTACAAACTACTGTATTGTTAAAAAGGTTAAAGTATCGTTTTGGGTGCAAGTAATTTAAGCAAGAAGTGTGGAGGAGGCAGTATGGATTGTATCCAGTCAGCATATGCATTTATTAACGCCATGTGAGGAATTTTATGTAGCCAAGTGGCTCTGAAGTAACCCAGTGCCTTTTTTCGAAAGCAATGCACGTTTGATATTACATAAGATAAATGGGTTTTGCTAATTGAATCAAAGGATACACTTCCATACAAAAACAGATTATAAAACAAGGCTGGAAAATAAATATAATTTAAGTAAAGATGTCTTCTAATTAGTAATTGTTTTTGCTGTTAAACAAATTTTCAGTGGCAGAAAGTATCTTTTTCATTATAAACCTAATAATGGAGATTGTAATAATAGGTGTAAATTAACGTGGTGGGAAAACATTTACAGTGTAACATTCTAAATTAAATATGACATTAGCAAGTCTAATGTTTAAATGCTGTATAATTAACATTTGTTCAACTCCTGACAAATTAGAGCAATATAGACTTTAGATGACTTTATTTATGGCTCAGGATATTTTTCATGCCTGTTTCCTTTGATAAACACAGAGGCAAGTTTTATTTCTTTGCAGGATGCCGTAGCAAGACATGTGCTACACTGACAAAGGGGAAATCAAAATGCAGGAGAACTTAAATATTAACCAGAGGCATTTATTTTGCAAGTAGTATGTCATGATTGTTAAAAGATTTAGTAGCCTCATCACTGTAGCTGTTCATTGCTGTATTAGAAATAAAATACTGAGAATGGTTTATGCATAGCAGGTACAGAGGTAATAATATCCACTGTGCAATAAAATATTTGAATCCCCCTGTGTGCCTCCTCAGTGCATACATTGCTCCACTAAGTGCTTTGCATTGATGTTTGCGTCTGCAAATAAATATTGCCAAAATGCTTTCTTTTTATAACAGCAGCTAATAGAAGATTGAAAGCCAGGCACAGAAGCAACGAAAAATTCCCAAACAAACAAAAAGCAGTTACAGATTTAATATGTGACAAAAGGAGATCAAATTTTGCACATTAGAGTCCCATAAGGATCCATGCTAGACAGAAGGCTTAACAGAGATGGAGTAAAATATGGTCATCTGTTTTATCTGGAGGCATTATTTTTAATCAGGATAATGCAGGTGTTAGCTTGTACTTCAGCTGACCTGATGGAGGGGTTCTTAGGGCCTAGCTTTAGGCTCTGATTTTCTCTGAATGGGCCTCTCAGTCTGTCTTCCATCTCCAGTACGCATCAACAGATGTAATGGCAGCCCCAAATGACCTGCTGATTCTGAAGTGGGAATTCCAAGGGACTCAAGCATTGTGAACTACCTAGGACTGGGGATTGTACAGAGGCTTCAGAGTGGAAGGGAGAAGGAGTTGGTTTTTGTTAGTTCCCCCTCCCTCTCTGCTGCAGAGCCTAATGCCAACCCACCAAATATTCTCTAGAGCAGCGGTTCTCAACCTGTGGGTCCCCAGATGTTGTTGGACTACAACTCCCATCATCCCTGAGCTCTGGCCTTGTTAGCTAGGGGTGATGGAAGTTGTAGTTCAACAACATTTTGGGACCCACAGGTAGAGAAAGGCTGCTCTAGAGGGTTGGGGGACAATTAGGAACAACACAGGAGGTGGTACAGTGTGGGTTGCAAGCGTGAGAAAGAATTGGGAGAAATTGCTTGGGTTTAGCCAACCCAACACTCATCATTCCAGCTCAGCCAGTTCAGCCAAAGCTGGCTGAGCCAAGGTCAAGGTAAGCCCCCCAAAAGTGGCATTCTGGGAGAGTGGCAGGGGTGGGACTGGGCAGGGGGAGATTTTACCTCATTTCAAACTTCATTCACCTTGGTCATGCCACCTAGCAACCCAGCAGAAGTTACACAAGCAAAAAGGCTGGTATAACTCCCATTTCCCCTCTGCCAGGCTCAGGCCAGCTCAGCTGGCAGCAGCCATGCTGCTGAACAGAGTTTGAAAAAGGGGGAAATTACACTGGCATAATCTGCACCAGCATAAATTATACTGGGTTCCTATTGTTTGAATTGCTCTATCTATTCAGATCCTAACAGGCTAAGTCTCAAACCTTCTAATTACCGAACCATACAATCATCAATCACAGCAGCAGCAGCAGCAGCAGCAAAGTTATTACCCCTCAAGATTAATATTGAAAAAAGAAATTCAGAAATAGGTTTTTCAATCTACATTCAAACCAAGGACTTGAAAGAAAAGATGTGGTAGGGGAAGAAAAGAAGTAGAAAAAGCAAATGGTTATAATTGGTTAGGTCTATGACTCTGTCCATGGTTTGTATACGAGAGGGAGAGGCATTCATTAAGTAATAATAAAACATTTTAAAAGGAATGAAAATAAAATATTTTTTCTTCTTCAGGTCTTCATTTCTGTAGGCAAAGCCATCAAATAAAATATCAGTCTCTTAAGAACTCTGTGTACCTACACATTCACTAAGGATAGAACTCACGGTACAATTAAGTATTCCACTAAGGGCACATCAAACTTAAGAGCACTTAATTGTATACAGCATTGAGCCGTATGGGTATGTAACATTTCAAACCCACAATGTTTGCTTTGCTTTCAAAGCATTTGTATGCAGTCTATAATACAGTAAATCTGTCACACAGAGTCTGCCCCATACCAAGTGCTTTTTAAGTCAAGCAAAACACAACACAGCATAATATGGACATCATTTTCTTGATTAACTTTGATGAACCTCCAGTCATTATCCATTATAGTAACAGTAAATTGGAAATGCTGCTTTGTTAGTGTTACACGTATAGGCAGTTTTGATGAGTCATAGAATTTATGGCTACTGGCACTTGACATTGATAATGAAATGCCATATTTTGCCTTTCCTTGGAAATAAATTACGACATACAGCTGCAATTATGCATCCCTTGCTTTATGCAAGAGGATAGATAGTTCTGTGTCGTCTTTGCCTTTATAATTTTTTTACTCCAGAAGTAAATGAACCAAGTCAAACCATACAGGGCAGGACAAGCAGCCTCTATGCAAAAAAAGGGGGAAAGAAGAAAGACGTATGTCTGACACCAGGAAAGGCAATATTCACAAGACAGTGGGGATTATTTCAACTTCCCAGGACACATTACCAGCTTAAAACACAGAAGGTTGGGTGTTGTTGTTTTTTATCAGCTCAGATTGAAACTGGTTTGGAGAGAAAACACACCAAAATTCAGTATTTCCCAAAAACAACAACACAGGATAGATACAGGATAGATTACGGCTTACGTTGAATGTACACCAACTTGCCAAACCAACATTGGGAGTCCATTGGATGAAGAGTAAATGTACACAGCTCTAGTGTGGCCATTCTAGAGCAAACCTCAAAGGGAGTATGTAACATGAAACCACTGAATTACATCAAGAGGTTCAGCGCTATCACTTGTGGCCTGAACCAAGACTGGAGGATCATTAGCATGTGTTAATTGGCTTACTAGTGCCAGGGTGTCTGCATTACCAACTGTTTGTGAGTTGTCACTATTAATTAGGTACTTATCACCCTCTGTGCTTTTCTGCATTCCCTCTGACCTCAGTATTTTACAACCTTCTCCCTCCCCACCCAAAAAACCCTCATGTATTTGTATACCCATAACTCGGGATGACACTTAATGCATTTTGATTTTAATTAGTTTTAAAATACCTGTTTTAGCTGAATTTATTAGATAGATAGATAGATAGATAGATAGATGATACATACATACATACATACATACATACATACATACATATATACCTAAATACACACAAAATCGAGTGGTATATAAATTTTGTTGCACAAAGAAAGAAAATGCACCTGATAGGCTGAACTGTAGTGCATGAAAGCTTATGACAAAATGAAGTGGTTAGTCTTTAAGGTACTGCAAAGTGTTTATTGCTTTTGAGCCAAACTGATAACCCTTGAGTGTGCACATATCTGTGATTATAGAACCAGTGTTGCAACCAGAGATGTGAAAGCTAGGAGCTAAATGGCACCTTAAATCTAGGTTGTGGGCACTGCATTGGAGTGTCTGGGTGCACTTTTTAATAACAAGAATGCAAGCTGAAAATGAATGAACTGCAGCTAAAATCTTATGTTCGTTTTTCACACGGTGTAGTCCTCATCTGAAGACATATTTCTCCTGCCTGTCCCCCTAATATTCTTATGAGGATACCTTCTCCAGTCTTCAGAGAGTGGCTGGAAGTGGGGAAGCCGAAAAGGTTCCTCCTTTCATTCCAGCAGTGGCAGTTTTAATCTGAAATTTTAGGTGCAATACTGAACCCAGAGCTCAGAAACTGCTCGCATTAATGAAATTCCCTGTCGCGCCTAGAACAATGGGAGTTTCCAAAGCTGTATAGAACTACTACCCCCACCCCACCCCGGGCAAATTAAAATTGTATGAAGCGAACAAAATTACAGTTTTGTCTCTCTCCTCACCAAATGGGGTTGTTCAAGACAGCCTGTGAATAGCCATTTTCTTTAAAGGAGAGCACACTAGAGACTCGAAATGCACCAATATACCTCTTTCTGTGCATATTGACAGGTTGAAAGGGAGTGACAGGGAGCAGGAGCAGGCATAAGCAACACAGGTCCCATGGTGGGCTCAGCACAAAATATACCCATTAATGAATCCTAGGAGACATTCCAGGGTAGCAGAATCTTTGACCTTCATGACTCTCAAAGAAGCTGCCGCAAGTTCATTAAAGGAGGGGGGGGGGAGGTGAAGCTGAGAGGGATTGGGAGACTCACTAGGGTGCTTAGAAAATTGCAAAATGGCCTTATGACATGAATTTGAATTTATTTATTTTTTGTTTTGCATAGTAGAACTCCAGTTAAAACCTCTGAGGATTTATCCTCTTGTGATCTGTTGAGACAATTTAACCTCCTTCTAATCGTGCCACTAAACAGGTTAGTTGTGTTGCTCAGAAACATTTCAAAAAAAGGTTGCATCTTGAAAGTGTAGCGTCTTCTTGAATTACAAAATATTGGGGGGGGGGACAGATAAAGAAAATATATCTGCTTTCCCAAGATGAAGCTTGCAGGATTCATGCACCGAATATTCAGATAGTTGGAACGTGTTTATTACCATCCTAGAGTAATCGTGAACACAATTAAAACCTTTCGTCCTCAATCTGGCTTCTGTCCCTGTGTAAGTGGCTGTTACCAGAAGACTCTGTGTGATTGTATTGATGTTTATATGGCCAGTTTTCATGGTTAGTACAAATCATAAAAGCTATGGAGGATGAAGCGTAAATGAATCCAGCTTCAGAATTGCTGGGAGCTAAAGTTTTAAAACTCATGCTGCAAAGTGAAAAATGAAACTTAACCAGGCATTTTGGTGAAGGAGAAGTAATTTATTGGATGTAAGATGAAAAGCTGTGAGAGTAAACATCAATCTCATCTTAGACACATGTCAGTGATTGATGTTTGCTCTGCACTGCAGCCTGGAGGTAAACTCTTTGAAACAGCATAGTAGGTACTTCATCTGTCTGAGGGAAAGAACACAGTTTGTTAAGTTGCTGCTTTTTTTTTTTTTTTTGAGACCCTGCTACATCTTCATGTTCAATCAAAGGCAAAACAGTAAATCAGAGTAATTGCTTTGCCCTGTGGCATTTCTGTTTGTAAATGGAGGAAAAAATACTGCAGAACCCTCAAATTAACTTCTGTTTAAACTAGGTGAAAAGTCCAAAAAGTCACTGGCAGCCCAAGTATAGCATTTTATTAATCATGTCACCAGTCCATCAAAAGCTAGTGCTTTGTTTTTCTTGCACGGCAGCTGATGCTTTTGTTTCAAAATGCTTTTTAGCACTGAGGAATGTAAAGCTGTCACTTCTGGGAAATCATAACAAGCCATTAGCAACACAGACTTTATAAATAGTCATCATTTATTTATTTTTGTTTAGCTGAAAATGACAATGGTATGAATAAACTGGCCAGAAAAGGTGTTGGATATGACTGATATAATGAGAAGCAAGCCTAATCTACAACTTACTAAGTGCTTGTGCTATTCAATAATATAATTACCCAACATTATTGTATTGATTAAAATGATTATTCATATGAATATATGAAGCTACCAAATACTGAAGATTATTGATCCACCGAGCCCAGTACTGTATTGTCTACTACTTTGTGAGGCAGTAGATCAAATAGAGAGGTCTTTCTCAGCCTTGTTACCCGGGGCTAAACTAAATTCTACCACTAAAATAAAATAATTACTTCCCAAGCTGTTTCATTTGGCCAATATTGTGAAAGTACATTTCCGTTTCTGAGCACAATTCGAAGTGTTGGTGCTGACCTTTAAAGCCCTAAACGGCTTTGCCCCTGCATACCCGAAGGAGCAGCTCCACCCCCATTGTTCAGCCTGGACACTGAGGTCCAGCTCTGAGGGCCTTCTGGCTGTTCCCTCGCTGCAAGATGTGAGGTTACAGAGACTCATTTTCTGCACTGTGCAAAGCACTTCATAGACCAGCTGTCAGAATAAGGCAGTTGCACACCTTCATCTTGGTCAATCCTTTTATGAAGGAGCTGAATTCAGTGTAGCAGAACAGCATTCATGCATTTGTATTCACAACTTGCAGCCATCACAGCACGTTCATGACTTACTGTACTATGAATGTAGCCACCGCTAGCTCTGTGATGTCTTAGTGCACAGCTACAAGTCATATCAGCCCATATATGGGAGACTAACAACAAGAATGTCTTGGTTGGGATGGTTGTTTTCTTTCAATCCTCCAATTCTAGTTGGTTGGCAAAAAGGATAACAATAGTGGCTAGGCTAAAGTAGCTGATAGTTGCGTTTGTACTTTCATGACCACAGTTGATTAATGGAGATCAGAAGAAGGTGCATTACTGTGAAAATATCTGTGGTATATAGCATTAACAACCCTTTAAAGGTAAAGGTAAAGGTACCCCTGCCCATACAGGGGTCTTGACAGACTCTGGGGTTGTGCGCCCATCTCACTCTAGAGGCCGGGGGCCAGCGCTGTCCGGAGACACTTCCGGGTCACGTGGCCAGCGTGACATCGCTGCTCTGGCGAGCCAGAGCCGCACACGGAAATGCCGTTTACCTTCCCGTTAGTAAGCGGTACCTATTTATCTACTTGCACCCGGGAGTGCTTTCGAACTGCTAGGTTGGCAGGCGCTGGGACCGAGCAACGGGAGCGCACCCCGCCGCGGGGATTCGAACCGCCGACCTTTCGATCGGCAAGCCCTAGGCACTGAGGCTTTTACCCACAGCGCCACCCGCGTCCCTAACAGCCCTTTAGGGGCTCATTAATGAAAAGAGAGCTATAGAATCCAACTAGAGTGATTTCATTTTTAAGCAGTATTCTTGTCTAACACCCTAAGGCACTGAAGCTCTTTAGATTTTGCTGGACAACGGCTCCCATCATCCTTGACTATGCAGATTGAGACTGATCGGAGTTGGAGTCCAACAATAAAGGGGGAGGGAACACCCTGCTCTAAAGAGCTGTCATACAAGGAAATGTTTTCATCATTTCTATTTAACTATAGCTTTAATTATTGTGCACTTTAAAAAGGAACCCCCCTTTGTTTCTTTGTCAAAGATGCTTTGACACTTACCCTGTTGCATTTCACCTGTTCGACATAGGTCCCCTAAATATCTCATCCCTCCAGAAACTGGGTGAGTGTGTGTGTTTGTGTGTGTGTATGTGGACTTGAATTTCCTTATTGGAATGGCATCCATCACATTCCTGTTCTTGTTTTCTTTGTCACCTGTTTGCTAATTCACCCTTCTGTATGTAGTTATGGCTACCCAGGGTTTGTTGCCTTAATTCTAGTTTTCTGCTTTTCTTTTGGTGCAGTGTCTATGACCCTGACAGAAATATGCTGCGCAGGAAAGAATGGGAAAGGAGAAATCAGGAGACCCAGCACGAAGATGGCATATTTAATAACAGCTACTCCCTCTTCAGTGAGCCATACAAGGTATATATATATTTCCCCAATTTTCCTCCCTGTTGTTTGATTGTTGCTCAAAGCAGGTAAGGCAGTTTAGGAGAACCCAATTCCCCAACTTAAAAGAGAATAATCTATATTTAAAGTGTCCCTTACAGATGCTTGTCTAACCTTTTTTTGAAAACCTCCAGAGAAAGCCAGATGACAGCTTATTCAATTGCTAATTCTGCCCTCAAAGTGGGATGCTTAGAAATTTTTAATTTTGTAGTCTCTTCCATCTTACCATCTATGGACTTGTAAAGGGGGTCACCTACTCCTTTATCCATGTCATTCATGACAATATTGAATGTCACCATATCCGACAACCAAAAACTGTTGTTTGTTCTTGGGCAGAGCTGCTGACTGTTAATGAACAAGCTAAGCCATGTTGTCTGGAAGTTGATGCCACTAGAACACAATGGCTGGTTGTGAGCTGAGTCAGAACCAGGGGATGTGGCTTGAGGTCCTTCATGCCGGAGTGAAAACAAGCCTGGTCCTGCTTGGACACCTCCCTTCACCTCACCTAACTGATGGGCCACCCGCCTGTGCTCCTCTCCCAGCTGAGCATGCAATACTGCCTTCTGGTCTAATAATGGACTGGGATAGCCAGTGTGGTGTGCCTTAATGCTCAGGCAGTGCTGGCTGAGGCTGATGGGAGTTGCATTTTGAGGGCACCATGTTGGCTACTCACGTACTAGACTCATTTCCTTTCTCCTCCCCGCACCAAATACATTAGCTTCTCTATAGCAGGTCGTTCTAATCCAATAGTGCGGAATCTCTGGCTGTGGGCCTAATTAGGCCCATCAGCCGCACACATACCCCAGCTTGACCCATGAGACTGTTTTGGCCAAGCCATTTCCACCACCTGCTCTCTAAACCTGATGTCATATATGTCAGGTGCAGGGCAGGTAAATGCATGGCCGGACCAAAGGGCGGGTGGCAGATACCACCAGCCAACTGCACCTGCAAAGACCTGTGTGCAGAAATTTGCATGTGTCAACAATCAGCTGATTGTCAAGGCAATCAGCACTATGTACAGCACTATGCAAAAATGGGTCACCTAATGTCATTGTGATGATGACAGGTGACTGACAAGAAACACCCGGCCCCCCAAATCTATCAAATCTATATCAATATCTTTCTTTTTAAGAAATCACATGAGGGATAGCTCATAAGTCTTGCTACAGTTCAAATTTATTAACAAGATTTTCCTTGCCCACTCAACAAGTTATTTTATCAAAAGAGAGTAGGTTCTTCTAGGGATTTATGTGTGTCCTAATAAAACTGTATTGTTTCCTAGTAACAACTGATTTTTCTTCAAGTTGCTTGCCAATTAGTAATTTCAAATTACACAGCACTGTAATAATTTCGTTCAGTAAAAGCGACCACATAAATTATTTTGTATGTCCTACTTTAATTGGTCATTAGCTATAGGCTGCAGGATATACTTTTTTTGTAGTCTGCCATAATGAACTGGTCTCACAAAGCACGCATTAATATTGATGTCTCATTGAGTTTTAGATGTTTATTTTTCAAAGTACATGAATGGTGGATCAGCATTACATTCAAATGTGTTTCAAAAAAGCGTTTTAGACTTAGATCAGTAACTAGTTGTTGGCACCCGTCTGTATCAAGAGACAACAGAGTGTGCTTCCTGGGATGAAGTGAAACCACTGTGTTAGCAGCACCAAAGTAACATTACATGGTGCGCAAGCCTGGGCAGTGTGTATGGAGATCCTGGGCTGCCCAAACGACAAGACCCCCCGTCTCAGCCTCACTGCTGTGGTCCAAAGTAAACAGAGCAATACATTTAATCTTGGCTGCCAGAAGGAGGCATACAAGGCACCATCCCAACCATCTTAGGGACTTCACTCCAGATTTGCATAGGGTTTGCGCCTTAGCCTTTTCTTCTCCCAAAGATGTCCTGCAAGGCAGCAGAGGTTTAGGATCAGAGTTTCCCTTCTCCTAGGTGGGCTACCTTCCCAGGTTGACAAGCCTCATTTGCCCCTCACTTCCCTCTGCAGCACATGCAGAAACGGCCTTCTTGACCGTTGGACTCACTATTGACCTTACCCACTCAAATCTGCTGGAGCTTGTCATAACATTCAGTGGAAGACCCTAGCTCACCAGGGTTTGAGACCCATCAGCTACCCTCACCTGGTTTAGCTGGCCAGTCAAAGGTGCTGCTAGGGTGTGGCTGCTGTCACATGCTGACAGCTTCTGGGAGCTTACAATGGTCAAACAGAAATATCCTAGCTCTAGTTACATTTCATGGAAATCATTCAGTATAGTTAACAATTGTCCATATGACATCACAATATTCTCAGAATTGTTGGAGAGGCTGTGGAAAAAGGAGTCATCTTTTTCCAATATTGGTGGGACTTCTCACAGGTATTTAGATTCTGGACAACGGTGGGCCTAATATTTGACAATACTCAAATATCCCATTCCAAGTTCACTGCAGATTTGTTTACTAAATCTTTGGGATGATCAGCTGAAAGGGTTCAACTTTCAGGAACTCTTGACATCGATGCTGGTGGCTGCCAGAACTTCAGTTGTCCTAAAATGGAAAACCTTACAGGACTTGTGACTCACACTGTGGTATAAAAATATGTGGAGTTTAGTGCTAGCTGAAAAATAACTCGTAAATTACATTTTTTCAAAGGCTCATAGGATCCTGAAAAATATTATGCTGTTTGGTGGGATTTTGTCATATATATATATACCACAAATACAGACACACAGGACTTCCTCTCCATGGTTTAACAAGAAATGTGGCTTTCCTAATGGTATTAAGTACTCTACTTTTACCTGATTTATTTCTTCCAATTATACTTCACTGCTGTTTGTTTGTTTTTTATTTGTACTTCTACTATTTTTATTATACAGTGGTGCCTCGCAAGACGAAATTAATTCGTTCCACAAGTTTTGTCGTCTTGCGATTTTTTTCGTCTTGCGAAGAATGGTGTCGGAAAAGTTTTGGAAAAGCTTCAAAAATCACCAAAGTGTTCAAAAACCTCAAAAAAGGCTACCACACCGCGTGCTATGAGTTGCTCCTCGAAGTCAAGTCGCAACTGTATTAACGGTGTTAAGAAAAAGGAAACAAACTTGCAAGACATTTCCGTCTTGCAAAGCAAGCCCATAGGGAAAATCGTCTTGCGAAGCAGCTCAAAAAACAAAAAACCCTTTCGTCTTGCGAGTTTTCCGTCTTGCGAGGCATTCGTCTTGCGAGGTACCACTGTATTGCTTTGATTTCAATAAAAAAATAAAAACCTTTTTTTCTGCTTCCAATATGATATGCTTGGAAAAAAATGTATTAAATACAAGTGATAACATTTGTAATATGCATAATATATACGCTGAAGCTCATGTAGCTTTCCATGTTCAGAGTAAATTGAAAACCTTTTTGCGTCCTCACAAAACATTTTATGTGATTCTTCATTTAATGTGCTTCTGAACTGTTGCATATTCATGACGATTTCCTTTGCTATTCTTTAAGGTGCCACAAGATTCTTTGTTATTTTTGATGCTACAGACCAACATGGTGGCTACTTTCTATTTTGTTACAGAATTTAAAATTATTCTTGCTTTCTTTACAGACTAACAAAGGGGACGAGCTCTCCAGCCGTATCCAGAATACCCTGGGCAACTACGATGAGATGAAAGAACTGCTGACAGATCGATCCAATCAAAGCCACCTTGTTGGTGTTCCAAAGCCGTGTATCTCACAAACGTCTGTGACCAAAGCTGAGGAACACTTCATTGCTGACACAAAGCCCCACACTCACGCTTCTCCATCTTCCCTACCAGCGGCACTTTCTGGGCAGTTGGGCAAGAACCCTGCAATGGGTTGGCAGAAGTCTGGGCACACTCTGGAGAACCAGCAAAGGGGAAGCAAACATAGACATGGATTGCCGGATGCACACAATAACAACTTTAAAACGGTTAGCCAAAAGAACAGTTTAGAAAAGATTACACATTACGCATCCAATCCCTCATCACCATCTCCGTCGAGTGTTGCCCAAGGTCCTTTATCGTCTTCACTTGGGGACAACAGCAGAACACAACAGCAGCCGTCAAAGCTGAGTTTTGGTGGAGAAGGTGGAGCTCAGGCTCAGGAGAGGCCAGCTATGCATAGCAATGGACACTGTGTGCAGAACTTTCCTCCTTCACTTGCTTCGAAGCCCAGTATAGTTCAGCAGAAACCAACAGCATATGTAAGGCCAATGGATGGTCAAGATCAGGCTCCTGAGGAGTCTCCAAGATTGAAGGTGCCAGCTGAAACTAGCTTGCTCTGCACCTCATATAGAGGAATGCCTTCTGCCAAAGCTGACTCAGCTAGGACAAAGTCAAAATTGACAAAATTTAATATTCCCAAACAAGAAGAGGTAAGTGCAACAGAGCTTTCCATGTGCTGTTGATGTACTAGTTAATCACTTTCAAAACACTGACATCCTACATTGACTTTTTTTCTCTTAGAAAGTATACTTTGCACTGCATTTTCAGGGTATTCATTTTTACTCGGTGTGTAAGTGGCAAACTTACACAAGGACTTAGAGTGGGGTGGGGAGGGATTCCAGGCCATTCTTCAAATTTGCCATTGTCTCAACCGCTTACTTGGCTAGTAAGATAGCTACAGTTTTGGTTCCCATTTGGCCCGCTCCCCTTTAGTGCTTAAATTTCCAGTGACTTGATTACTAATCTCAATTGAAAATGGATTTTAGTTGATTGACTATTTCTTCACACCATATAATGGTGGTCAATGAATAACATTTAAAGTCTGAAATGGGACAGGGGTTGGCTGGTAAGAAGTCAGTGCCCTGGTTCAAAGGATATAGATGTCTTTCTTTCTAATAGCATCATTAGCATGTACAGATGAGAGCCAGAGATGAACAGGTTCTGTCAGCACTCAAACAGCAAACTGGCTCCAGCTACATGACTTAGAAATATTGGTACCGTCACAACAAATAGTGGGCTATTGTCCAAAGGTTGGAAGATACTGTGATGTACAACAGGAGCGTCATTGGGTCTTGGAGAAAGAAAACAAAAATGTATATGTTGTGTGTGTGTGTGTGTGTGTGTGTGTACAGGTTTGATTGGATGGATTTAGGTGATGGTGTATGTATCACAATGTCATGGTGTGGTCCCTAAAGAAGCCATCCCTGGATCCATAGGTGTATGCCAGTCACCACCCAATCAACAATACACTTTATTTATTTCATAGACTCATAGAATTGTAGTGTTGGAAGGGACCATGAGGGGCTCGGACCCACAACTCTGAGATTAACCTGCTCTCCCAACTGAGCTATCCCAGATTTTATTTTCTTCTTCTTCTTCTTCATCATCATCATCATTATTTTGATTACAGTGGTGCCTCGCAAGACGAAATTAATTCGTTCCGCAAGTTTTTTCTTCTTGCGAGTTTTTCGTCTTGCGAAGCACGGTTTCCCATAGGAATGCATTGAAAATCAATTAATGCGTTCCTATGGAGAAAGCTTGCCAGGCTGGCGGTGCGGAGAAGGGCTTTTCTCCCCACCGCAAGCCTTCAGGACAGGTACGGGAACAGAGGGGAAGGCGCGCAGCGCTTGTCCTCTGTTCCCGGGGCTTGCGGTGGGAGGAGGGTTTTTCCTCCCCACCGCCAACATTCAGAACAGCGAGAGAAGGATGCACTCTCGGAGACGAGCGGGCGCCGGGAGGACGCGGACGCTGAGGGGACAGCGGGCGCACGGCAGCCGTGCCATCGTCTCCGGCTCGGAGGGCTCCTGGACCCCACCCCGACGCCGGGCGGCGGCGGGCGAGGGGAAGCTGTTGGCGCGGCAGGGCCGCGGATAGACGGGGGCGGGAGGCGGCGCTGCCTGGGAGCGGGCACCGCGAATGGATCGGGTCGCTAAGCGAGGGCGACGCAACGCCGGACGGACGCGGGGAAGGGGAGGCTGCCGCTCCACCTGAACGCCAGTCTCCGGCCGGCCCGCGGAGGGCCCTCCCCGACGCGACCGTCACTGCCCGGGAGGCTCTCCGCCCCGCCGCCAGCCTTCGGAGCAGCCTTCCGAAGGCTGCCGGTGGGGCGGAGAGACCTCCTCCCGCCGCCAGCCTTCGGAGCAGCCTTCCGAAGGCTGGCGGCAGGAGGAGGTCTCTCCGCCCCACCGCCAGCCTTCGGAGGAGGTCCGAGGACAGTGGGGAAGATGCGCTGCGCTTCCCCGCTGTCCCGGAGATTTCCCTATGGGCTTTCGTCTTGCGAAGGAAGCCCATAGGGAAATTCGTTTTGCGAAGCGCCTCCAAAACGGAAAACCCTTTCGTCTAGCGGGTTTTCCATCTTGCGAGGCGTTCGTCTTGCGGGGCACCACTGTATTATTTTGTATACTGCTCTTCATCTGAAGATCACAGGACAGTTCACAATATAAAAATACAAAACAAGAACATAAAATGCATAATAAAAACAAGAACGGGAACAAACCAATAACCTTCCATCCCAATAGGATTATTGGAAATATATGTTGTTGTTTCTGTACAAAACAAGTTCCTCTTCCATTTTTCCTCTCGAGGTAGCACTTGAATGCAAATTATAGGCCATTATTTTTAAATATGCAGGAAAGGTTGATTTCCCATGCAGTTTAGTTCTTCATTTAATATTGTTAATCAGTTTTTGAAGGTTCTCAATATCAAGACATAAAGAGAATCTTAAAGTAATTTTTGCAGAAATTGTTTTAATGAGAATACCCTAGCTGTCCGTTATGTATAAAGGTATCAAGTGTTCGTTCAGGATTTAATTTTTAGGAGTCAGTTTCATCAGCATTAATCAGAATTCATATCCGACCTCCTGGACCTTTCAGAAATCATCCTACTTCTCAGTGTAAATGATAGCCTCTCATCTCAAGTGCTGCTGTTTCACATTTAGAATTTTATTGTAAGCGGCTTATGAATTATATTACTAGAATGATGAAGGTCTGAAGTGCTGAACAGAAACATCTTGCAGTATAAAATAGGCCATAGAGAGACACTTGTTTCCAGTATAGCTCTTCTAAAATTATTTGCCAAAGATGCATCCATTCTCTTTTATCTTGAACTTATGATTCATGTATTGTTCTTGGTAGATTGAAATAGCCAAGATCCAGTGTCTTGACTCAAGACATGCACTAATTTCCCCCCTATGCCCTTGTATTTTTAGACATGTAAAGAATTGTACTGAACTTACCTACTAAGTAGCATTATGTTCAGTGGGTCATGTTCCCTCATAAGTCTGTTTAGGACTGGAGAATTGAGGGGAAATTTATAAATGCACGTGTTAATTAGGTTGTACTCTTTATTTCGTTAGGTCAACTTCCAGTGTGACAAATGAGGCTTTCCTTAGTCAGAAAATCTATGTAATTGTTCTTTTTCCCAGTGAACTTCAGTCATTTTGTGGCAGTTGCTGGCTTGGGAAACATTTTACAACCTATTTTTATTGATGAATTCCTTTTATAGCCCACATCAATTCATAATATAGACATCAACTGTCCAGTTCTATATATTAAAACTGGGGTCATATTTATTGGATCTTTTAATTCTGTGTTAATGTCTTTAGAATTTTGACATTAAAATTAGAATATTACACATAAATAACTTAGTGATTAAATTGCATTAGTTTTTTTAAGAACGATTTTTTTCATTGGAGTTATTTTTGTCATGGCTTTCCTATATGCAGTTTACACAAGGGTTTATGAACAGTGCCAGTTTTAGGAACAGCAGCTATCACTTAAATGTATCCTAGGCCAGTGTTTCCCAACCTTGTGCCTCCAGCTGTTTTTGGACTACAATTCCCATCATCCCTTGCCACTGGTCTTGCTAGTCAGGGATGATGGGAGTTGTAGTTCAAAAACAGCTGGAGGCACAAGGTTGGGAAACACTGTCCTAGGCAACAAACTCAAAAGTTCGTATATCCAACGTTCCTATTTATTCTGTAGCCCTCTGTGCCCTCAGGTGACCATTCCTGAAGATTAGGGTATCCTTTGGAATGGCATGGGTAATGACACAGGAGCAAGACTGTAACTGGAAAGTGGAATTGAAGTAAATGGGGAACTTATCTTATGGGAGTAGAAGTTCCACCTGCTCATGCTTTCATCAAGTTTGATCCAAGCCCAGGAAAGCATATTCTGAGCCAGAATTAGATATATTAGTTGTCAGGCTTGTTTGCTTTCCACAGAGGAAGCATCCCAGAATATTCTATTACACTGGCGCAAGCCACATCTAGATACCTCATCTAGGTGAGTCTAAATAAATCAGTAAGCAGTCAATAATTAAATCAGGCATATCCAAAGTCCATTTTGGGGGCCTAATCCGGCCTGCCAGTCGATTTAATCCGGTCCCCGTGGCAGTATATATCCTGGGGTAAAATCCTTATAAAAGCTCAACAACTTTGGGGTAAAAATGTAAAGAAAGCTCAACAACTTTGGTCGGCCCTCACGCATGTTCACTTCATCAAATCTGGCCCTCTTTGAAAAAAGTTTGGGCACCCCTAAATTAAATCCTTGCCTAGTATGGTTGCTGTATTTTACCACTAACCATCAACAGTAGCCACAATAAGGGGATTTTCCCACAATATTTTTTTTAAAACAGAGCAAGGAACAAGACACAGAGACGAGCCAGTCAAAGGCACAGGCACCAGTTGGCAGAGGTGGCCCACCCCATTTAACTGCCTGAGGCAAATTGGAAAAGTGCCACCCCCCTCCCCTGAAGCCTTGCTTACCAGGGTTGCATGGCAACGGGTGGGCAGGGCACCAGCAGGAGCGCTGCCTTGTGGGATTCTGCCACCGGAGGTGGCTGCCTTAGTCCACTTCATGGGCGAGCTGGCCCTGCCAGTTGGTCGTATGAATACTTAATACTCACTGCCCTTTACAACCTTAGCAGGTCCTCCATTCCCTTGCTGACCTTTCGCTGTGAATGTGTACCTATGTTGCGCTCCTGCCAGCCAGTGTTGACAATGCAATGGGCCAATGGTCTAACTTGGTATAATTTAGCTCCCTATGTTCCTATGTGCGCATGAGCGTCATCCGTAGGAACAGCAGCAGCAGCAGAATCATGGGTCCATCCAGTGCTTTTTTTCTTTAGGGGTACTCTCATTTTCCTACCCATATTGAAATGCTGCCCCTCAATGAAGCCAAACTTAGATTCACAAAATGTTTAGGGGTATGCGTCTCCCCAGAAAAAAAGCACTGGGTCCATCTGGTTGAAGCACTCTACGCTTTTCCCTTCACCATTATGGGATCATGTTCTTTTCCGTTGGAAATGGAAATGAATGGAAATATCCTGACAATTTCTGCTTAATCAATTTTTGGGGAGCATGCCTCAGATTTTAGGGGTGTAACATACGCCATTTACCAGTTGTAATGTTTCATCACTTGCCTGTGCCATC